CCGAGCCTCTCTTTTTTTTTTTTTTTTTTAATTGACAGAGTCTACTCCGTTGCTGCAGGATAGAGTGTCCTGGCTACAGCCTAGCTTGCTGCAGCCTCAATATCCTGGATTTAAATGATCCCCTTGCCTCACGCTGCCCCGTAGCTGGGACTATAGGTACCTGCCACAACTGCCCAGCTAATTTTTCTATTTTCAGTAGAGATGGTCTGGCTCTTGGTCAGGCTAGTGTCAACTCCTGAGGTCTAGCAGTCCTGCCTCAGGCTTCTAAGAGTGATAGGATTAAAAAAAAAAAAATACAGGGAGGCAACGCCTGTGACTCAAAAGAGTAGGGCCCTGGCCCCATATACCGGAGGTGGTGGGTTCAAACCCAGCCCCGGCCAAAAACTCCAAAAATAAAAAGTGATAGGATTACAGGTGTGAGCCACTGTGCCCAGCCAAGGTTGTCATTTTTTTTTTTTTTTTTTTGAGACAGAACCTCAAGCTGCTGCCCTAGGTAGAGTGTTGTGGCATCACAGCTCACAGCAACCTCCAACTCCTGGACTCAGGTGGTTCTGCCTCAACCTCCCAAGTAGCTGGGACTATAGGCGCCTGCCCTGCCTGGCTATTTTTTGGTTGCAGTCATGTGGTTGTTGTTTGGTGGGCCGGGCTGGATTCGAACCCATCAGCTCGGGTGTATGTGGCTGGTTTCTTAGCTGTTTGAGCCACAGGTGCTGAGCCAAGGTTGTCATTTTTTTCTTAAATTTTATTTTTCTTTTCAGAGACAGGGTCTGGTTTAGTCACCAAAGCTGTGGTGCAGCAGCTAGATTATAGTTCATTGTAACCAAAATTCCTGGGCTCATTGACTCCTCCTGGCTCTGTTGGCCATGTAACTGGGATTACAGGCCTGCACCACCATGCCTGGGTTAATTAAAAAGAAACTTTTTTTTTGTAGAGAGAAAGTCTCATTTTGTCGCCCTCAGTAGAGTGCTGTGGTGTCACACAGCTCACAGTAACCTCCAACTCTTGGGTTTAAGCAACTCTCTTGCCTCACCCTCCCAAGTAGCTAGGACTACAGGTGCTCAACATAACGCTCCGCTATATTTTTGTTGCAATTTGCCTGGGGCCAGGTTTGAACCCACCACCCTCAGTATATGGGGCTGGCACCCTACCCACTGAGCCATAGACGCTACCCTTAAAATTTTTTGTATAGAGGGTCTTGTTATGTTGCCCTGGTTGGTCTTAAACTCCTGTACTCAATAGATCCTCCTGCATCAGACTCTCAGAATGCTGGGACAGGTGTAAGTCACCATCCCAGCTGGTTTCCAATTGTGAAATTCACAATGAATACAGAAAACACAGAGAAGATCAAAGCGTTTTATTCACTCACTGTATACTATGCTGCTACACTCATCATCAAACCTATAAGGCCATCAACATTGTTAGGATATTGAAATAGCAAAGATGTTAGAATCATTTTCACTTCTAATTAATTTAGGGCATTAAAGTGGATTACCAGATTACCCGAAACAAATGAATCTTACAAAATCAGAGAGGAGTTTATTAATTCAGTGGGAAACACACAGAATTTTAGCTAAGGTATCTTATTACAATAGGTGGCACAGAAAGCAGGATGCCTAAGAAGCAGTCTCCAACTTGTCAATAGGTTTATAATTCTGGTGGAATTCTCTAATTCCATTTAGAGGTAATTTCTTTAGATTTTTAACTACATTTTTTTTTTTGAGACAGTTTTATTCTGTTGCCCTGGGTAGAGTGTGCCGTGGCATAATTGTAGCTCACAGCTACCTCCAATTCTTGGGCCCAGGTGATCCCCTTGCCTCAGTCTTCCAACTAACTGGGATTACAGGCACAAGCCACTATGCTTGCTGCTTTTTCTATTTTTACTAGAGACAGGGTCTCATTTGCCCAGGCTGGTCTTGAACTGAGCTCAAGCAGTCCACTTGTCTTGGCCTCCTAAAGTGCTAGGATTACAGGCATGAACAAAAATTCATCTTTGCTTCTGCTAGTGACAGACATGTGCTTTTGTTCTTATTTTATTTTATTTTATTTTTTTTTAATTTACTTATTTATTTATTAGCCATCCATTTTGGGGGGGGGGGATAACAAGGTATCTTGTTGCAGGTTGTTTTTTTTTGTTTGTTTGTTTTGCTGAGGCTGGACCTGAATCCGCCACCTCCGGCATATGGGGCTGGCGCCCTACTCTTTGAGCCGCAGGCATCACCCTGCTTTTGTTCTTAACATCTTGATACTTAAAATTCCTTTGATTTCACATTTATGGAAGAAGGAACCTAAGAGGTGATTTGGGAAAGGAGGTTACATTGGGGAGGGTAGAAGTGTGGGTGTGAAGGGATGTTTATTACTTGGTTGTGAGTAATGGGTTCCCCTCACCACTAATTGGGTCCCTAATTATTAAAGAAGTAGATTAAAGAATGAGGAATCATGGCTGCTTGTGGTGACTCATCTGTGTAATACCAGCACTTTGGGAGGCTGAGGCAGGAGGATTACTTGAGGCCAGGAGTTTAAGACCAGCCTGGGCAACAATAGTGAAACCTGGTCTCTACAAAAAATAAAAAAACTTAGCGGGGCATGATGTGAGCCTAGGAGTTCGAGGCTGTAGTAAGCTATGATTGCTTCACTGCACTTAAGTTTGGGCAACAAAGTGAGACCCTGTTTCTAAAATTAAAAGAAAACCCAAACTCTATTATCCTTAGTCTTATCCGGATGAAACCCTTTGTCCTATTTGTTGAATGACTGAACAAATATTTCTTTTGTTTTTTTCTTATAGAGGTCATACTGTGTGTTCAATTTTGTGTCTTTTTTTTTTAAATTGTGACCCATAAACAAACCCACTTGTAAATAATAAATGTCATTTAGAAATTTTGATTGTGAGAAAATTTAGACATATACAAAAGTAGAGAGATAATGTAATGAGTCACAGTGTATCTATCACTTACAATAATCAGCAGTCGTAGCTAATCTTGTTTCAGCTATACTCATATTCCCTAGCCATAATTCTTATGATCTGTCTGGTGACACATCTCCAAAGTAATTTTGTTTTTTTACAAATTTGTAGAAAGAAGCTTTTGTCTATTGGTAAAAATATTTTGTGCATGGCTCAGTGCCCATAGCTCAGTGGTTAGGACACCAGCCACATATCCGGAGGCAGGTGGGTTCGAACCTGGCCCGGGCCTGCTATAAACAATGATAGCAACAACAAAAAAAATAGCCAGGCATTGTGGCAGGTGCCTGTAGTCCCAGCTACTTGGAAGGCTAAGGCAAAAGAATTGCTTAAGCCCAAGAGTTGGAGGTTGCTGTCAGCTGTGATCCCATGGCGCTTTACCAAGGGCAACATAGTAAGACTAGCTAAAAAAAAAGTTGTGCATAAATATTTATATTCTTTCTTGGAAATGGAAAAAAGAGTTCCATGAGGATTGTATATTTTTATCCAACAATTATGAATAAAATGAGCCAGGCCAGGTGCAGTGACTCCTTCCTGTAATCTTAGTGCTCTGAGAGGTCGAGGCAGGAGGACTGCTTAAGTTCAAAAGTTGGAGACCAGCCTGAGCAAGGGTGAGACTCTGTGTCTACTAAATATAGAAAAAGTAGCTGAGCATAGTGCTACTTGGCTGTAGTCCCAGGTACTTGGGAGACGGAGGCAGGAGAATTCCTTGAGCCCAGGAGTTGGAGGTTGCAGTGAGCTGTGATGATGCCACCTCACTCTAGTTTGTGCAACAGAGCAAGACTCTCTTTCAAAAAAAGAAAAAATGACCCAGCATTCTGATTTTTTACCTTTATGTGTTTTCTCTCTCTCTAATTTTCAAATTTAATTGATATATTTTGTAACAAACATTCATAGAAAATTTATGATCTAATCTCTTTTTTTGCAGATTATTGAATAATAAAATCCATTTCTCAAAAATGGATGAAGAACCTGAAAGAACTAAAAGATGGGAAGGAGGCTATGAACGAACATGGTTAGTAGGATATTATTACCTTCTTTTCTTTTAGATACTGTTCTTTTTTCTAGCTTTCTGGGATTCTACACATGTGAAAATCCACCCATTTGCAGTGTACATTCAATGATTTTTTTAGATTTACTGAATTGTATAACCATCACCATAAACTTTTTTTTTTTTTTTTGAGACAGAGTCTCACTGTGTCGCCCTGGGTAGAGTATGATGGCGTCACAGCTCACAGCAACCTCAAACTCTTGGGCATAAACTAATTTTAAAACATTTTAACCACTCCAATAAGATCCTTCCTGCCCATTTACATTTAATTTCATTCTTACCTCCACCCCCTCGGCAACCACTAATCTATTTTCTGCCTCTATAGATTTGCCCTTCCTAGATATTTTACATAAATGTAATCATACACAGTCATGTGCTGTTTCAGTTGATGATGGATCATATATATGAGGGCAGTCCCATATTATAATCTGATTTTTTACTGTACTTTTTTATATTTACATACACAGATACTAACCATTGTGTTATAATTGCCTGCAGTATTCAGTACACTAACATGCCTTACACTCAGGTTGTTAGCTTAGGAGCAATAGTCTGCTGGTGTTTTTCAACTTTTTCTATCTCATGGCACAGTTAAACCTATACTTAAAATTCCACGGCCCTCTTAAATTATGTATAAAAAGAGTAAAAATAAAAAGAATACCTTTACTGTGCTTTGAACTTTTTCCAAAAATAATTTGATGATCTTTAAAAATTTTCACAGCACACTTAATATCCCATCATAGCCTAGCAGTTGAAAATCACTGGTCTATATCATACAGTTTAGATGTGTAGTAGTCTGTACCGTTTACATTTGTGTAAGTACAAACGTACTGAGGTACAATGACAAAATTGCCTAATGAAATATTTCTCAGAACATCCCTCTGTTAAGTAACACGTGACTGTGGCTCGGCGCCTGTGGCTCAAGCAGCTAAGGCGCCAGCCACATACACCTAAGGTGGCGGGTTCGAATCCCTAGCCCGGGCCCGCCAAACAACAATGATGGCTGCAACTGAAAAATGGCCAGGCGTTGTGGTGGGCGCCTGTGGTCCCAGCTACTTGGGAGGCTGAGGCAGGAGACTCGCTTGAGCCCAGGAGTTGGAGGTTGCTATGAGCTGTGATGCCATGGCACTCTACCCAGGGGGATAGCCTGAGGCTCCGTCTCAAAAAAAAAAAAAAAGAAAAGTAACACGTGACTGTAATATGTAGTCTATTGTATCTGGCTTTCATTTAACATACTGTTTCAAGTCTCATCCATGCTGTAGAGTGTATTCATACTTTATTCATTTTTTTGTTGCTGAATATTGTTCTATTATATGTGGTTTATATCATGTTTTTGTTTATCTGTTCACTGGTTGGTGCACATTTAGATTGTTTATAATTTTGGGCTGTTATACTACTGTGAAACTCACATGCAAATCTTTGTGTGGGCATGTATTTTCATTTCTCTTGGGTTAATAATGTTTTTAGTTTATCTTTTCAAACAAATAATTATTGCTTATAGGGAGATCCTTAAAGAAGATGAGTCTGGCTCACTTAAAGCTACAATAGAAGACATTCTATTCAAGGCAAAGAGAAAAAGGTATGTAGCATCTTACTAAATGTGTTATGAAAGGTAGACTACATTCCCTTAAGCCTTTCCTTTTTTTTTCTTTTTTCTTTTTTTTTTTTGAGACACAGTTTTATTATGTCACCCTCGGTAGAGTTCTGTGGCATCATAGCTCACAGCAACCTCCAACTCTTGGGCTGAAATGATTCTCTTGCCTCAGCCTCCCACGTAGCTGGGACTACAGGCACCCACCATAATACCAGGCTAGCCGGGAGTGGGTGTGTGGGGCGGGGGTCACTGTTGTTTGGGCTGGTCTCAAACCAGTGAGCTCAAGCAATCCACCTGCCTCGGCCTCCCAGAGTGCTGTGTGTGAGCCACAGTGCCCGGCCATCATTAAGCCTTTCTGTTCATCTATAAACACTCCTCAGTACTTCATTTCATTTGTGTTTCAGAAAAACTGACCTGTAGCTTTCTGAATAGTGGGGAAAACTTAGCCACTTTGCCTTGCCTCAACAGGGAAACGATCTTCAAGAATTGTCCACAAAGCCTATAATTATATGTATTCCACAAATTAATGATTTACTTCATTAAAAAAAAGTGGGTTAGTTGGAAAGTTGTATTGATTATTTGGGGTAGCATATGATAGTCCATAAATTTTTTGTATAGATTCCTTCTTTCCCTTCCCTTTCCTTCCATTCCTCCCCTCCACTTCCCTCTGTTCATATATTTTTATTAAAAAAAACTATAATAAAATTTTTGTATAATTTTAACAGAGTGTTTGAGCACCATGGACAAGTTCGACTTGGAATGGTATGTTATTTTTTCTTTTACTGATACAGAACTATTTAGGATTAGAGAAACATTCTGGCTTGACACAACAGATAATACTAAGACAATAAACTTTAAAAATTAATACATTAACAATATATGCATAAAACATATGAATATTAATACCATTTTTACATCTAAGTCAAAGATGTACTTGAAAGGTGTCCCTTTTTTTTTCCTGGTAGATGCGCCACCTTTATGTGGTAGTAGATGGATCAAGAACAATGGAAGACCAAGATTTAAAGCCCAATAGACTGACATGTACTTTAAAGGTATCGTTTAAATTTATGCTAAATCATTTACATTTATACTATAGTCACTTAATTTTTTATTAAATTTGGGGAAGAATACTGAATTCTAAAAAACATTTTTAAGGCCAGGCATGGAGGCTAATGCCTGTAATTCCAGCACTCTGGGAGGGTGAGGCTCAGGAGATTGCCTGAGCTCAGGAGTTTGAGACCAGCCTGAGTAAGAGTGAGACCCTGTCTCTACTAAAAAGAGAAAACCTAGTAGGGCATCCTGGTGGGCACCTGTAGTCCCAGCTTCTGGGGAGGGTGAGGTAAGAGGATTTCTCAAGCCCAGGAGTTTGAGGTTGCTGTGAGCTATGATGTGACAGAACTCTACCCAGGGTGACAGAGTAAGATTCTGTCACAAAAAAATAAATAAATGCAGAACTTTTTTTTTTTGCGGTTTTTTGGCCAGGGCTGGGTTTGAACCCGCCACTTCTGGCATATGGGGCTGGCACCCTACTCCTTTGAGCCACAGGCGCTGCCCTATGAAAACCATTTTTATTGGCTCAGCACCTGTGGCTCAAGTGGCTAAGGCGCCAGCCACATACACCTGAGCTGGTGGGTTCGAATCCAGCCCGGGCTGCCAAACAACAATGATGACTGCAACCAATAAATAGCCCGGCATTGTGGCGGGCCCCTGTAGTCCCAGCTACTTGGGAGGCGGAGGCAGGAGACTCACTTGAGCCTAGGAGTTGGAGGTTGCTGTGAGCTGTGATGCCCAGCACTCCACCCAGGGTGATAGCTTGAGGCTCTGTCTCAAAAAAAACCCAGAGCCTCTTATGAGTCTCCTGCCTCCGCCTCCCAAGTAGCTGGGACCACAGGCGCCCACCACAACGCCCTGCTATTTTTTGGTTGCAGCCATCATTGTTGTTTGGTGGCCCAGGCTGGATTCGAACCTGCCAGCTCAGGTATATGTGGTGGCATCTTAGCCGCTTGAGCCACAGGCGCAGAGCCTGAAAAACATTTTTAAAGAACATAATAGTTTTTGTTTTATGTTTTTAGTTAATACAAAGTAAAGCTATGTAGAAGTTCTGCCAGAGGGTGTGTGCCATGGCTCACACCTGTATTCCTAGCATTGTGGGAGCCTGACACAGGATCCCCTGAGCTCAGGAGCTCTGAGAACAGCCTGAGCAAGAGTGAGATCCTTTTCGTAAAAGATAGAAAAATTAAGCCGAGCACGGTGGCTCACACCTGTAAACCTAGCACTTCGGGAGGCTGAGGTGAATTGCTTGAGCTCATGAGTTCAAGACCAGCAGAGCAAAAGCGAGACCCTGTCTCTTAAAAAAAAAAAAAAAAGCTGGGCGTTGTGGCAAAAACCTGTATTCTCAGCTCCTCAGGAAGCTGAGGCAACAGGATCTCTTGAGCCCAAGAGTTTGAGGTTGCTGTGAGCTATGATGCCACAGTGCTCTACCAAGGGCGACAAAGTGAGATTTTTCCTCAAAAATTGAAAAATAAATTAATAAAAGTAAAAAAATTAGTCTGGTGTTGTGGCAGTTACTTGGGAGGCTGAGGCAGGAGAATTGTTTGAACCCAGGAGTTTGATGCTAGGGCACTCTAGCCTGGGATAACAGAGTGAGACTTTGTCTCAAAAAAAAAAAAAAAAAGACAAAGAAAGAAAGAAAGCAAAAAGGCCAGGTATAGTGGCTTACACCTATAGTACTAGTACTCTGGGAGGCCGAGGCAGGTGGATTGCCTAAGCTCAGGAATTCAAGACCAGCCTGAGCAAGAGTGAGACCCTGTATTTACGAAAAATAGAAAAACTAGCTGGGCATAATGGCTCCTGCCTGTAGTCCCAGCTACTTAGGAGGCTGAGGCAAGAGGATTGCTTGGACCCAAGAGTTTGAGGTTGCGATGAGCTAAGAAAACCCCATGACCCTGTACCCAGTGTGACCTAGTAATTTCCAAAAGAAAAAAAAAAAGGTGGGCATGGTGGCTCATGCCTGTAATCCTAGCACTCTGGGAGGCTGAGGTGGATGGATCACTTGAGCTCACAAGTTTGAGGTCAGCCTGAGCCAGAACAAGCCCTCTTTTCTAAAAATAGATAGGCATTGTGGTGGGTATCTGTAGTCTCAGCTACTTGGGAGGCTGAGGCAAGACAATTGCTTGAGCACAAGAGTTTGAGGTTGCTGTGAGCTGTGATGCCATAGCACTCTATTGAGGGCGACAAAGTGAGACTCTATCTGGGGGGGAAAAAAAAGCAGCAGCTCTGCCAGATCCTTTAGGGAAATTGTAAGCCAGTATAGCTAATTATCCACGTTAGGATCTTGCTTTATGAGTCATCCCTTTTCTTTCTTCCCTCATCTCCCACCCTGCTCCTCTTTTCCTTTCCTTTCCTTTTTCCTTTTCCTTTATCTTCTTTCCTTTCCTTTTCCCCCTTTTCCTTTTTTCTTTCCTCGGCAGTGTCTGCTCTGTTGCTGTAGTGCAGCGGTTCTCAACCTGTGGGCCGTGACCCCTTTCTAACAATGAAAATATATTGCAGCATTAGGAAGGTTGAGAACCACTACTGTAGTGGTATAATCATAGCTTGCTGCAGTCTCAAACTCTTGGGTTTAAGTCATCCTCCTGCCTGAGCCTGCTGAGTACCTAGGATTATAGGTATTCACCACCCTACCTGGCTAATTAAAAAAAATTTTTTTTGGAGATGGGGTTTGCTACATACCTCAGGCTAGTGTCAAACTCCTGGTCTCCAGGGATCCTTTTGCCTCAGCTTCCTGAGTAGCCAGGATTATAGACATAAGCCACCATGCCCAACCATTTTCTTTATTTGAATCTTCATTCCCCTTTGACTTAGTTGACTTTTTTTTTGAGACAGAGCCTTAAGCTATCACCCTGGGTAGAGTGCTGTGGTGTCACAGCTCACAGCAACTTCCAATTTCTGGGCTTAAGTGATTCTCTTGCCTCAGCCTCCCAAGTAGCTGGGATTATAGGCGCAAGCTACAACACCTGGCTATTTTTTGGTTGTAGTTGTCATTGTTGTTTGGCTGGCCCAGCCTGGATTTGAACCTGCCAGCTCTGGTGTATGTGGTGGTGCCTTAGCTGCTTGAGCTACAGGCACCACCAACTTAGTTGACTCTTTTTTTTTTTTTTTTTTTTTTTGAGACAGAGCCTCAAGCTGTTGCCCTGGGTAGAGTGCTGTGGCATCACAGCTCATAGCAACCTCCCACTCCTGGGCTCAAGCAATTCTCCCGCCTCCGTCTCCCAAGTAGCTGGGGCTACAGGCTCCTGCCACAATGCCTGGCTGTTTTTTGGTTGCAGCTGTCGTTGTTTGGCAGGTCAACTCGAACCTGGCAGCTCAGGTGTTATGTGGCTGGTGCTTTAGCCGCTTGAGCCACAGACACTGAGCTGACTTAGTTGACTCTTAATTCCTTAGCTTACAAACACATTCATATTATTCCTAATTTATCAAAACCTGTCCTTATTTCTGCGTGTTCTTCCATCTGTCTTTATTGGCTCTTTTCCTGTTTAGACTTTTCTGACATGGCTAAGTGGTTTCATTTTCTTTTAAAACCTAGCTCAAACAGCATACCTCACTATTTAATTTTATTACAGAACATTTTTTTAATAATGTACAAGCTTAAAAATCATGAGAAGTAGTCTGGGTATGGTGTCTCATGCCTGTAATCCTAGCACTCTGGGAGGCTGAGACAGGTGGATTGCCTGATCTCAGGAGTTTGAGACTAGCCTGAGCAAGAGTGAGACCCTGTCTCTAAAAAAATGGCCAGGTGTTGTGGTGGGCGCCTCTATTCCCAGCTACTTGGGAAGCTGAGGCAAGAGAATTGCGTTAGTCTAAGAGTTTGAGGTTGCTGTGGAGTCATGGAACTCTACTGAGGGTAACAAAGTGAGACAAAGTGTAAGTAGGTGTTACAAAACATTTATCATACATGCTTCATATGGTTATTATTTGGCCCTTATCTAGTATTGCCTTTTTGTTTTCTCTAAACAGTTGTTGGAATACTTTGTAGAGGAATATTTCGATCAAAATCCAATTAGTCAGGTACGTAGATAAGTGATTGAATTCAAAATTAGATTCCTACTTTGCTGTCAAATATAATTTATTTTTAAAATATGGGGCATATATATGTGCTACACATCAATGAAAAGCTTAATAACTATAAAAGTTAAACAACATACATTCAACTCATAGGTAAATTTATTTGCTAAAAACACTATCAGAAAAGTTTCTCACATACTGCTTCTTTTGTAGTTATTTATTTTGGTATATTAATTCATATCAAGAGAAAATAATTGGTTATATTAATAATCATTTTTGTTTTTATTTTGAGATTGGAATAATTGTAACTAAGAGTAAAAGAGCTGAAAAACTGACTGAACTCTCAGGTATGCATAAAATTACCTTTACATGATTCAAGGACTTTGCTTTATTTACTCAACCTTGTAATCCTGTTTATGTGGCTGCTTAATAAGTAAAGCAAAAGCTTCTTGTATCCTTTCTAGGTAAGCTGATTTCAGATACAATTTTTCGTGTGTGTGTGTGTTTTTGAGATAGTCTCACTCTCTGCCCTAGGTAGAGTGCTATGGTGTCTTAGCTCACACCAACCTGAAACTTCTGGGCTCAAGCAATCCTCTTACCTCAGCCTCCCAAGTAACTGGAACTAGGCTTGGTGCCTGTGGCTCAAGCCGCTAAGGCGCCAGCCACATACACCTGAGCTGGTGGGTTCGAATCCAGCCTGGGCCCACCAAACAACAATGATGGCTGCAACCAAAAAATAGCTGGGTGTTGTGGTAGATGCCTGTAGTCTCAGCTACTTGGGAGGTGGAGGCAGGAGACTCGCTTGAGCCTAGGAGTTGGAGGTTGCTGTGAGCTGTGATGCCATTGCACTCTACCCAGGGCGACAGCTTGAGGCTCTGTCTCAAACAAAAGAAAAGAGTAAGTGGAACTATAGGTGTCTGCCACAATGCCAGGCTAGTTTTTCTATTTTTTGTAGAGACAGGGTCTGGCTGTGGCTCAAGCTGGTCTTGAACTCTGGAGCTCAGGTGAACCATCTGCTTTGTCCTCTAGAGTTCTAGGATTACAGGTGTGAGCCACTGTGCCCAGCTCAGACAGTTCTTTTAAGAGGTCCTGGCTTTGCCTTCATTTCTCTGGTAGATTTTATGAGAGGTAAAAGATGTCTATTATTATAATAGCTCCAAGTCTCCAGGAGAATGAGGTATTTTGCTGGTAGACTTGGATTACATGCCTGTACCCAGAACAGGATAAAAGTAGATTTAGCACCCTATGGACTAAATAGGATTAACATACGGTGGAGAAAGCATAGTTCCCCCAAGAAAGGGTTGTAGGATCAACCTCCATCCTCTCCCCATCCCCTATCCTAAATTAATAGTAGTTTTCTATGCATGCTAGTGAAGTCATATATATGGTGTAAAGATGAAAATCTGGGGAGTCTGAGAGGCCTTTTTTGTTCTTTCTTTTTTAATTTTGAATTAATATGAGGATACAAATGTTTGGTTGTATAATGTATACATGAGAGGTAAAAATCAGAGTTGTACTTGTGTCCTACACCCAGAACGTGTGCTGTTAATCCATGCGTTATCCCACTGAGTGAGAAGCTACTGAATCCACTCCTCTACCTGCTTCTTGAGTTTAAGATTTTCTCTCACGTAGGTCTATGATTATTAGTCTCCTAGGTTCAAATCGATACTGAGTATATGTGATGCTTGCTTTTCCAATCTTGTGATACTTAGGAGAATGTTTTCCAAATCCATCCAGATTGTTACAAAGGATCCAAAAATTTCACCTTTTCATGGCTGAATAGTACTCCATTGTAGACATATACCAGTTTATTAATCCATTTATGTGTTGATGGGCACTTAGGTTGTTTCCACATCTTTGTGGTTATGAACTGAGTGGCTGTGACTAATCTAGTGCAAGTGTCCCTGTGGTAAAATGTCTGTTTTTCTTTTGGGTAAATGCCTAGTAGTGGAATGGTAGAGTGAGATTAGGTAGGTATTGAGAGGCCTCTTAGGGTGCCCTTTCCCCCCTATTCAGCCTACTGCCATAAACTACACTTACACTAATGTAGTACACTTTTTTCCCGTACTCATGACACCATGTGAGATTAAAAAAAAAACATTTTGTATGATATGATAGAAAGAAGTGGATAGAGAACCAGAACTACTTTGGTTGTTGCTGGTCCTGCATTTAGGCAGTGGTATATCTTTGAGCAAATCATTTTACTTGTTTGAATTTTTTTTCTCACTGAGGAAATGAGAGATTTGGACTTAGTGAGGTACTTCTCATTTCTAAACTTTTATGAATCTATAATACTTGCAGTAAATATTCAGTATTATGAATGGTTAATATTTTTAAACTTACTCCAATAAATAAGAACTCTAGGGTGTTCAAAGTAGATGAATAAACTAGGAGGACAATTCACACCAGAAACAAAAGCCAAAACTAAATAACTGCTTTAGAAAAAAAGGTTTAGGCAAAAAGTGATCTAAATTAAAAACCCAATTTAATAACATTTTGTGATTTTATGCATTTTATTTTATTAAATATATATTTATGAGACAGGGTCTCACTCTGTTGCCTAGAGTGTTGTGGAAACAGCCTAACTCACAGCAACCTCAAACTCCTGGGTTCAAGTGATCCTCCTCCTCAGTGTCCTGAGTAGCTAAGACTACAAGGCACCTGCCACAATGCCTGGCTCATTTATTTTGTGTATTTCAAATGAGCAAAATGAAGTTTCTTTTTTTTTTTTTTTTTT